CCTTTTAGTAAGATTCAGGCCCTTGACTGTGCTGAGTGAGTACCTGGAATTAAGTGTGTGTGATTGCAATAATTTCTTGTGTGTATTGCTATATAGCCAACCTGCTGTTTGTGCACTTATCGTAGGCACTCTCAAAGAATCTGTAGATGTTACATAAGAATAAACCGAACTATTCATGAACCTGACTGCTTCTCCTGAATGCAGCCAGACCTGCAGCATACGAGCTGTTCACGCATCTGGTGTCAGGCCTAGTTAAGGCCATAATTGACCTACCTATTAAGAGATAAGTCCAGCCTCCCCTAGCCCCTCTGATCTCTGAGGACCAGCTAGAATGCAAGGGGATTCATCTCTTACCAAATTAATTAATTACCTTAAATGCAACAGTGGTTCAGAGTGTTTTGCTGCCTCTTGGAATACTCAGTTTTATCATCTTGCTGCCTATGGGATGCCTTCTTGTTTATATTGATCTTGTACAAAGTAACTGAAAACTTTGACTACCCAGATTACCATTAACTGCTGATTCTTTCCAAGAGGCTTATTCCTTTTGGCTGTTACACACTAAAGCACAAAGTACATAACATCTTTTGCTCTGTTTGTAATTTCCAACTAGCAAGAAGAAATTTCTAAAACATAATGTAAAATCAAAAGACCATTTTCAAAGCATTCAAATTTTACATAAAAAGCATACTGTAACCAAAAGTTTCTCTAGGGCATAGATTAGACATCTAGATAATGTAATTCAGCTTGAGCTGGGTTAATAGTGAAAAAGTTTTAATTCAAATCTAGAACTCTTATAATTCAAAATTTTCTAGATTTTTGATTAAAGCTGTAATTTGACTTTTGCATAGAATACTGCAGAGGTATAGAAACAATTTCCTTGTGACTGATACATATGTGTATGTGTGTGTGTGTATATATATAGTATATTAAAAATAATAAAAGACTTTTCTGCAATTTAAAACTTGACTAAGGGTTTTGGGGCTGAGGTATTAAGGAATTCCCAATTCCTTATGAATTTAGTGTTTCTTATTGGTAGCCAGATTAGCTGCCAAGTCTCACATGTGCTTGTAAAACTACAACTACATATCCAGTCTGCTGTATGGTGATGGGACCAAGTGGTGCTCCAAAGAAAAGTTGTAGCCAGGAGCAGGCTCTTTCTGTGGGAACAGTTCTGACTTTTCTGTACCCTTTGCCTTTTGTAGTTGCCCTTTGGAAATACAAGTGTGAGAAGCAAGCTCCACCAGTATACCTTTATTAAAGCAGTTGTGGTGTAGTTCCAAGCATGCACAGTGAACTTTGAGTTTCTAAGCCTGAGCCTGGATTTAAAGCACTCAGTACATCTTAGACTTTCTAAAAAGCTTGCACACAACAACTCTGTTGTTAGAGGGAGGAAGGTCAGCTGCATGTAGTCCCTTCTTACTGAAAGAAGTGACTAGAAAGGTTGTCTGCCTTTGATCGTGTAATATTGATGCCTTTAGGGACCTTCTCTAAACAGAGTAACAACTACTTACATTTAAAATACTATCCATAGACTGAAGAGTAAAAGACCTCAGTTTGTCTTGAGTTCTCCAGTTCTAATTCACAAATACTCTAAATGTAGTTTTGCATGCCATGCCTGAATCTAAGAGGAATTGTGGCAGAATCACAGAATCATCTAGGTTGGAAAGGACCCTGGAGATCATGTAGTCCAACCATTTGCCTAGGACAGTTCCCACCTACAGCATATCCATAAAGTCTAAATTGACCCTACTCTTGAACACCTCCAGGGATGGGGACTCCACTTCCCTGGGCAGCCCATTCCAATGCCTAACAACCCGTTCTGTAAAGAAATGCTTCCTAATATCTAGTCTAAACTTTCCCTGGCACAACTTGAGGCCATTCCCTCTTGTCCTGTCATTTTCTACTAGGCTAAAGAGGCTCAAACCCAGCTCTCTGCAGGTTCCTTTCAGGTAGCTGTAGAGGGCGATGAGGTCTCCCCTCAGCCTCCTCTTCTCCAGACTAAACAATCCCAGTTCCCTCAGCTGCTCCTCACAGGACATGTGTTCCAGACCCTTGACCAGCTTTGTAGCCCTTCTCTGGACACGCTCGAGTCATTCAGTGTCCTTTTTGTAGTGAGGGGCCCAAAGCTGAACACAGGAATCAAGGTGCGGCCTCACCAGTGCCGAGTACAGGGGCAAGATCCCTTCCCTGTCCCTGCTGGTCACACTAATCCTGATACAAGCCAGGATGCCATTGGCCTTCTTGGCCATCTGAGCACACTGCTGGCTCATATTCAGCCAGCTGTCAGTCAGCACCCCCAGGTCCCTCTCTGACTGGCAGCTCTCCAGCCACTCCTCCCCAAGCCTGTAGCGCTGCTGGGGGTTGTTGTGGCCCAAGGGCAGCCCCCGGCATTTGGCCTTATTGAAGCTCATGCAGTTGGCCTCAGCCCATGGCTCCAGCCTGCCCAGGTCTCTCTGCAGAACCTCCCTACCCTCGAGCAGATCAAAGTACTAAATACCTAATTGATAATTTTAAAGGCTTGATCTACAAAGGTGTAAATGTAAGGACAAAAGCTAGGCTTCATCTACAAAGTTGTAAATGTAAGGACAAAAGCTAAGTCAATTCCCTCATATTCTGCAGCACCACTGTATTTAAAAGATCATCAGCTTACTCGTAGAATAAGATTTCAGCCTTAATTGTGAAGTCATGTGCTTAAAGGCTCGCAATAGTCTCTGGATATGATTTTGTACAAGTTATTTTCTCTTTATTTTTAAACCAGTTTATTGAGGGAGGGGTTGCTCTTTTGAAGACTTAAATTGCAATTTTTGTTTACCATATCTTATTTGAAGAGACAACTGAAAGCCAACAACTGTCATATTGAGTGTTTTTCTAACACATTAATGATATGTGGTAGTTTTGTAAGGAAATGTGAAGTCTTGAAAAAAAGAGATTTTTTTTCTTAGACCATTCTTGGGTTGTAAGAATGAAACTATTCTTCTGTCTGTTGTGATTCTTAATACTGTTCTCCAGGCTGGCTGGCTGAGATGAGAACTGCAGTAGATATGTTTTGAGTCATCCCTGCTTCTAGATAGTTTTCCATTGCTGCTAAATACTCACTTTGTGCATTAATGCTGAAGGTATAAGCAAAATGCACTAGCTCTCTGTAAAATAATACTAAGCATTTCTAAATCTCAAAAGATTCATGGTAGACATGACCTTTTCCAGAACTAAGGCTACTCTTCCATGGCATGATACATCAATTTTATATTAATTAATGATATTTTAAAATGTAGAATAAGTTATTTGCAAATGTATTTTGTATAATACCTTGCAAAAGTGTGCTCTTAGGAGATAGGCTGCCAAAGACTTTGACTGAACATCAGTTATTTGTAAATGTTTTATGAATGTGAAGGTTTTAAATAAATTTACATTATACTGGGAGCATTGTTTTATAAGTGAGGCTATTTAACACCTCAGTGTTGTTTGGCCTTTGCATATTAAGTTTCATCACCACTTGGTGTTTGACTGAAGCAGTAATGAATTTGGTGATTTGGGGCTTTTTGTTGTGCTTTTTTCAGAGTTCACTTTCAGGTTTTTTACTGAAGTAGGCATAGAAGAGTAAAGAGAGTGTTAATTTTTATTGGCAGCTTGAAGGCATTGTATAACTGACAAGAGGTAGGAAGGTGTCTGCCAGTTGTAGAGCTAAATTTCTACGCCCAGTGTTACAGTTGCGCAGTTGGCTACTGTGATACATTAATATTATACAACTGTTTCTGATCTATCTAAAAGGTAATGTAAGGAGTTAGGCAGTGAAGTATCAAAATAATTTTTTATCTTAATGATTTAATGAAACTATTAAATGGAAAGGCTGACAGGATGGGTACTTGATTGGAATTTGGACAGTGTGAAAGCTAGGCAGTAAACTTTCACCTAACTAGGTTGTTACAAAGTATACAATAAAACATTGTACTCTAGATATGCTGGTCTCTATCAACCAGAATTAATTTTTGTCAGCTATAATTACTCCCGGGGGGGGGGGGGGGAAAACCACTCAGTGTGAAGAAACATTAGCTTTTGCGCCCGTGGCTTAACTACCAGAGCCGTGGAGATTTTAAGTGCCTGTACATGATACAGCACCGTAGGTAGTGTGTTCCACATGTCTTTAACTGCATAAGTTGAATAAATGATTTCTCAAGTGTTTATCGTTGGAACGTGGAATTGATTTGATTGATTTGCATAGGTAAAGGTTTGTAAAACTGGTGTGATTATTAGTGTGTGCTAACTAATGCTTCACAACTTTATTCTGTGGTGGTAATATACACATAATTTAAACGTGTGGTACCTATACCCTAGATTTAAGTGGAACAACACATGCCTTCTTTGAGATGGAGAAGAGGGCAATACACTAAATTACTTTCCTTACCATATTAATTATGGAATCGCACCTATGGTGTATGTGGTCAGACCGTGAGCAGTGAGTCACTTGCAGGCTGCTGTAAGCCCAGTTTGGGGAACAGCTGAGAGAGGACAGGCAGGTGTTAGCTGTTGCTGGCATCAAACTAGTTCATTCAAGGTGCTGTTTCAGTGCTCCTTGGAACTCAGGAGAGGAATAGCTTATAACCAGGATTAATTGTTCAAACAATGGCAGCCCACTCCCCAAAACTGCTCTCCTGTAGGCCCTTCTGCCCATGCGCAGTAATGCAGTTAGATGTGTTCCTCTTGCATGACAGGACACAACTGTAGTTCCTCTTCCATCTGTTTCCCAGCACGCCCCTTCCCAAGCAACAGGAATGCTTCAGAGGCCTGTTGCCCTGGCAGTTCTTTCAACCCACAGTATACTCAAGGGGATGTTATAAAAGCCACAGAAAGGAGGAGACGGTATAACCTCTTCTGGCAGGCAACAAAACACATTGCTGATAGAACAGACTTCACCTGATCAGCCAGATGAAAACAGGCTGTAACTAAGCAGGCATGTAAGTCCGTTAATGTGATCTTAATGTGTGCATATGTATCTTTTTCAGGGTGTTGATGATGCCTTCTATACATTAGTTCGAGAAATCAGAAAACACAAAGAGAAGATGAGCAAAGATGGTAAAAAGAAGAAAAAGAAGACAAAGACAAAGTGTATAATTATGTAAATACAATTTATCCTTATTCTTAAGAAGTACTTAAGTAATTTTTGTACATTACACTAAATTATTAGCATTTGTTTTAGCATTACTTTACTTTCTGCCTCCTTAGCTTTACCTGAATGCTTGTTTTAAATGACAGTGGAAACGTCATTCCTCTTAAAGTGCCAGTATTCTTTGACTTGGTTCTTGAACTAGCAATGCCTGTGGAAAAAAAAAAAAAACAAACCAAAACCAACAACACCAACAAACTAAAACAACACAAAGAAAACAAACAAAAAACCACACAAAAACTGTCTTAGGACTCTTTGCTGCATGCACAGTTGCTAACTTCATATTTTTCTTACTGATTGTGAACTTCTGTTCTGTGTTCAAACCAAACAATGAAATGATGCTCTGCACATTCTAACATCCCCTTTAATTTTTTGGGGTTTAAATCTGGTTGAGAAAAACGACCAGTTAGCAAAAGAGACTTCATTTTAGCCTTTTTTTTTTTTTGACTGACTGCAATATAGAAAGACCAGAAGCCTTTATAGTCTTCCTGTAGATTTTGCTTCTAGGCATCTAGTCTTGTAGCATTTCAGATCAACTTCAATGAATGTAAAGTAAAACTTTCACAAAATTTTTTTCACCAGTTTGTCACAGTCACTCCTTAAATACTCTTTTTTTTCTATAAAAAAAAAAAAACAAACCAAACAATAAACATCTGGCAATGGAAAAAGTAAAAGTTCTAATTAGGTTGATTTGCCTTTGGTAATGCATTGTTTTAAGATTTTCACTAACTTTATGTCTGAAGACCAAGGTGAAATCCTAGCTCTTCTGACCTCCTGTGGCAAATCTTTAAGTAGCTTTGTTCAGTAGGCACAGGATTTCACCCTTACTGTCTCTAGGAGATACTAGAAAGCCTTAACAGATAAGTTGATTCAAATTCTTAGATTAATTCATACATGGATCCAGAATTTACCATAAGAATTAAATCAGAATGAATCCTAAATTATATAGCAAAGTAAAACCATTCTTTTTTTCCCCCAAGTGTGGCATTAAATATTTCCAGATGCCCATTTTGTGCAAAATAGGGGAGGAATTATAAATTCTAGTAACATCAGATGAGTGAATGAATGGGCTGAATTTAGCTGCTTCATGCAAATAATTTGGAAATCCACTATGCCATCAAAATGGTGTGGAATTTGCACAAATCATCAGCATAGAATATGGTTTCCAGAGTCAATGTTGTTTGTGTGATGTTCGTGAAGTATTAGTTTTGTTGCACAGATTGGTGAGTGGCATTCCAGTGTCTAGACTGTCATGAAGCTAGACCAAGATTTTAATGTTGTCTTTCTCTGTGATTAAGTTCCCTTGTGATTTCCTCCCTCTTTTTTTTTTTTTTTTTTTTTTTGCAGAATTTTTGCAGAAACTTTCATTTTTTGTTACTGTAGTAGTCTAGTTATTTTGCACTAAACAAAGAGCTGGCAATTCCAATGCTGCCAGTTTCTGTTGTCTTACTGTAAATGTTGCATTGTTTGATTGTTTCATTAGAGCCTGATTTCCTGAAGGTACACTTCTTTGTAGTACCTAAGCTGCAGAGTAAAATTTGAAAATGTGACTCTGGCATACTCCAAAAAATAAAACACAAGACATTGAAGTAGGATAGTTCAGGACACTGGAAAATTTGGAACAGGTAATAGCAGCATTGCCCTAACCTAAGATATACCTAAACAATTATGTGGAAATTTTATACAGTACAATTTTCATATACCTGTGTAAGTTGGAGTGTTTATATGATGTCAAAGGTGCAACTATGTGAGAAAAGTATTCTTTTGCTTCTACCAAAAAAACCCACCGCAGTGACTCATATAATGTCTGGATTGCTGCATGTTTAATTTCAATGTGGCTGAGAGAAATAATGCCTTTCCCTGCCTGTGCCCCCCATTCCCCACCCTCCACCAAAACCCAGACCCCTTCCCCTCCCTTTCAGTTTCCATGTGAAATACAGATTATGAAATATTCTGAAAAACAGTATTAGGAGAACCTAACATTATATCTTAAGAACAGATTCTTAATGTCACAAAAAATTTTTCAGCTTCCAAGATTCATACGTTTTGGAGACAGTTATTTGCACATTTTAGATGCTGTTACATATGAAGAACATAGCAAAAGTAAATAGTATACCTTGGGCAAATGGAAGTAATCTTAAGATTTTTGGCAACTGAGTCACACTGCATGTAAAATTAGGGCTGGTCTAAAATCCTTATGTTAATTTAACTAAAAACTTAGGATAAATTGTAGCTGAAATGTCTTAAATCATCAAATTTGGATTTATATAACTCTAATATAAAGCTATATATAAAATAGTGGGTTTTTTTCAGTAAATGTGATCTGTAGCTACCGATCTAATTAAATCAGTACAAAATGTTTAGATTAGCCCTTATTTACTTTTTTTTTAAAAAAAAAGAAATACACATCCTTGCCACTGTTGTGCAGTTTTGTCTTAATATTTGTTGAGATTTGGTGGAGCATGTTGGATTGCAGCTTGCACAAGTTGATCTCGTAATTATTCTGTCTTTCCCTATTTGAAATGCTTTCAGAGAACATACCTGGATGCTGTCTGTTCTGATAGCAACTACTAAATGAACATGTGAATCACTTACCGTGTTAATACATTAAATTGCCATGTGTCAGGGAGTAACACCTTCTTACAGTAGCTTTATATAACTGATAAACAACTTTATCATTGGTTTTCGCAAAACTGAAATTTAAGTATTTTGACCAGTCTCATTGTCCTAAAATTTTTGCTAACTTAAGTTTCACTGTATAGTTTTTGTTACAGTAACAGGATCTCTGTAATAAGCTAATACTGACACACAATTTCTGCTCTTGTCTGTGCTATGAAGCAATACAATTATTATCTTTAAAGACCATCAAACTCTAAACAAATCATTTTGTCTCAAGTTTACATAAAGCTACATAGATGGTAACATTTCTTTATTCCACTGTCTTGTGTTTTCATGTTGAAAATACTCTTGTTTTTTCCTCGAGTGCCAACTTCTTACTAGAATGAGTTCTTAATGTAATATGTTTACCTGGAATGTATTTTAACTATTTTTGTATAGTGTAAACTGAAACATGCACATTTTGTACATTGTGCTTTATTTCATGTGGAACATATGCAAGTGTGATCCAGTTTTTCCATCATTTGGTTGTGTGACCTAGGAATGTTGGTCATACCAGACAATGTTAAAAAAAGAAGAAAAAAAAAAAAAAGACCACTGTTTGTTTTAAAATTTTGAGTGTTTTTAGGAGTATGTGCTGTGAGGTGATCTGGAATTTGTCAATTTTTTGTCAAACTGTACTGCTCCTATTTATTGTAATGTCATAAAAAATAGTTATTGTGAGTTTGTCCCAGTTTCCTTTTCCTCCCCAAGAATTTCAGTGCCTCATCTCTGTATAATGGAGCATCCTGTGAATTACCTGTGTTTGGCAGTTGTTCTCAGTTTATTTCCTGTACTTCTCCTTGCCTGTCACAAAGCTGCTGTCCTTGCCCACTGGTGTTCCCTTCCTCTTGAGAGGGGGTGTAGTGCTTTGACAGTGCTTTCTTGTACGGATCCATTGCCTCCAGTCTGTTCTGCTCTTCCATTCTGTGGTCCGTGGGGAGCAGAGCCTCACTTCAGGTGAGGCTGCACTTCTCACTCAGTGGTGCAGGCTGCTCGGGCTGGACCGTCTTCAGTCATGCCCCAGAGACCTTCTTTTCATGAGTCTCACAGCAGACTTGATTTGGTATACAAGTTTTAAATTCTCTGAATAGCTACTCTGTGTCCATTCCTAGGTGCACATTTGTTTTCTTCTATCAAATGCCTTCCATAAATTTACATAAATTATGAAGGACATTCTTTAGGATTGATTGGTCCAGGGGGGTGGGGGGAACTTGAAAATGCTACTGTTCTATAAGTTTATGCTTTGGCTCTTTGTTACCAGTCTGGATACTCTTTTTATCAGTTATTGAGAAAGGTAGGTTAAGTTTTATCTATAGACGTATTCGTGCAGAATAGGTTTTAACTGCAGCATGTTGTAGAGGAGTTAAGTTGATGTGGAAGGACTTTTTCACATCAAGGTAGTGCTAGAACCTCAAGCACATACATTTCATCACAAGGTAGTGGACTGTCTAATTTGTCATCTTTTTAATTCTACTCTGAAATTCACGCATGTGGTGACTTGCTTTTGCCAACAGTTCTACTGCAGTGATTACTTATCTCTCTTCTGTTCTGTCTCCCCTGTGTCATTTAGTTCTTGGGGGGCTGAAACACCAACCCACCCTAGTACATACAATCAGTTTTGGCACAGGCTTGTGCTAGTCGAGCCAAAGTCTACGTTTATGATCAAACTTCTCTTCCAGGGGAAAGGTTCAAGTTCTGTATTCCTGCTACAACAGTAACACATCAGAAAGCAGCAGCAGGAGGAGATGTCTTCAGGGTCTAAGTGCATAAACTACTATGGTTCAAATTCATCCTTTTCCTGACCCCGTTGTCTTTCTAACACAAAAAGACAGCACCTCTACCAGCCTGCCACTGTGACTCTTGAATGTCACATAAAATCTTTAAGAATTTACTTTTGAGAAGGTGCTCATTTATGGTGGAAATGAATCATTAAATGTTGAAGACTTTCAAAAATCAGATTAAGTAACGAGAAGTGTAGTGCCTTGAATCTGCATTCAAACACGCAGCTATCAGGTAAGAGCTCTTTTCAGTGTATCAAAGTGAAACAGAATCATCTTACCACTACTTCCTGCAAAATTGTTTCATACATCAAGTTTTAGTTCAAGGAGGTCAAAAGTAGTTGAGATAAACCAGTTTCCCACATAATACAAATCCTTCAATCAACTACTTAAGGGGAAGCAAAATTAATTTGTACTTAGATGGGTTGGAACGATCTACATTTAATTTCTTTTGAGGTTACAGCTCTTTTATTGTTTATGGATTGTATTGTTACATGCAAAGTCATTAGCACCAGTTATGGATTGTCATCACTGTAGTAGCGCCGTTTCAGAGCTCTGTATTTTCGGAGAAAGTACAAAGCCTCCAACTCTTTTATAACAAATTCTCCTTGTGCAATTAGTTGCTTAATTTTTTCAGGATCTTTCACATCTTTATTTTTTAGAAAAGCTACTTTCAAACGGCTTCTAAAGTAGTCTTCTCCTTTGGGATACTCCCTTCCAAGGTACAGCAGCTTGAAGGAAAAAAAAAAAAGGTGTTTTTTTTTAAATAGTGTGCAGTGAAAGGCTCTTATGTTAAGGGAAGTGCTCGTGGCTTTTAAGACACTTACATTTTTGTATAGATTCCGCACTTCACCTCTTAAAGAACTGGCCATTCTCACGTTTCAGTGAACTCTTTATTCTCGTCTGGTTTTGGTTTTTTTACCTGAAGAATAACCAGTTTGACATTAGCCTTCCATGGGAGTAAATACCAGCCTCATCCTTCACAGGGATGGTTTCTAACCAGATTCCTTTATCTTACTGAGCACTGTTTGCTGTTATTTTTCTGGTTCTACTCTGTCTCTTATAGTAATGGCTTCTTTTGTTTCCATTTAACGTCTCTTCTCCCCTTCTGTCCTGCCCTCATCTCAAACACAAATGTAGAAACTTCAAGAGCTTTCAACTACTGTATCTTTGTGCTGTGCCTCGGCTACTTACGTGCTTCCCATTCCCTGCTGGGCTGCTAGACTGGCAGCTGCTTTGTCTGTGGTCTGCTAAAGGAACAATTTATATACATATCCGTATATATACACATACGGTAGTGTGTATATATATATGAATAAAACTAGGAATCCCTGCAACTTCTGCGTTCGTAAGTATTTATTTTTAGAATTCGTTTAAATGCCTTCTGAATTGAAGCCAGTGCATACGGGTAAAACCTAACATTAAAAAAAGTGGGTGGGCTGAAGCATTCCTTATGGGCTACTGAAGTACCAGTACGTGGAAAAAAAGATTTAAGGCTTTGAAAAATCACCTGAAAGGCATGTTAACTTTTCTGCAATCCCCCGATCTAATTTCTTGTGCTGTGGTTTGTTACTGTGGCTGCGTAGTGTGAAACCCAGCTTGGAGGTGACTAAAACTTTATATGTATGGGCTTTGCTGCTAGGTGTTTGGCATCCTAGAACCTGTTCATATGTCCTGTAGTAATTTGGAGGTCTAATTAGATTTGTTTCACTTCGTGCAGTTTCCCTATAAATAAGAAAAGACTGGTGGTGTTTCTGTGTTTTTCTAGGTCATGTCATGATGTAATGTAGTGTTATTCAGAGTAGCATACAGTATCAATTGGTCAGTTCAGAAAGCATATTTTGACCAAATTGTATATTGGACTAAATTATATATTTGTTGTACAATAATTTTTAACAGTGGAATAAGTAAATATATTTCTATAATCATGAGTGTAATCTAGCCTGATAAATTATTATATCATGGTCTGGAGTAAGGTGTTAGTGGCTAATCTTCTGTAATATTGAAATTACTGTCATAATTTTTTCAGTAGTTAATCTCATCTAATTTTACAGAACAGTTTAGGATGGATGTTTAGGATGATGTTTGTATTCAAGCTTCGTGATAACCTTAGTATTCAAATTTACATTTATGTATACATTTATTGCCATGCAAAGTAGTGTGAAGTGAATAGCTTTCTAAGTAGTTACTTATATCTGAAAATATGCTAGTCAGAATCAAAATGTGAAATAAGAGTATTTGTAACACACGTTTTATATGATCAATAGCAAAAGTTCTCCTTGATTATTTTTAAGTTCTCTATCAATTGGATTGCTTGTAACAATATTTTCGAGATTATTAGGAATACTTGGGTGGAGTGGGTGGGAAGACTTCATAATGCCACCGTGTTTATTTGCAACTGTCTGGACTTAAGTCCTCTTCTGTTGTCTCTCCCTGTCAGCTTTGTTGGACCTCTTTCTTTAATGCCTTATTTACACCTCTACAGGATGGGCAGTGTACTACTGTGCTGGTTTGATATCATTCTGTACCCCTTTCTCTGTGGAAGAGGAGAACTGGATTCCTAACAGATGCCTTTGATCCTTAGTGCTTATTTACATTGTGATACTGTCCAAGTAGAGTCTCTTGCTGACACTGTGGATGAAACTCATACTCTTTTAGTTGTTTTACCTTACCCAACAGAATCCTTCTAAGCCCTCGTCTCTCACCAGTAATGGCATGGGGGCCTGGGATTCAGGTCTCTGATGTGCAACATGCAGGCTAGATGCCAAGGTGGAGGATGTGTCTCCCTTTCACATTGTCTAGAACTCTGAACCCATTTACATTTCATGTTTTCTATGTTTTAAAAAAGTAAACATTTCATTTAATTCTCTTTCGTTTGTGTGTCAGTGGCAGAATACTACTGTTCAGCTAGTACATAGATACACCACCAAATGCAAGTAATTTGTTCTCCTTGATGTCTTTTTCCATCTATACCTTTGCTTTCAACCTTAGTTTAGACTGCTGTCACTCTTTGTTTTCTCCATATGTTGGAGCCTGTGCAGAATATCATGGTTTGTTTTCTCATGTGTACAAAAAAATAGCCTTATCTCTCCCACTCATAAACAATAATGTTGGCTATGAATTCATTTTGCAGCCCATCTTTCTTCCCTGAACCTTCTTTTTTTTTTAAAAAAATAAGATCTGTTGTATTTGGGCCTTGTGTTTGCAGCATCTGCCTTCAGGAACAGCACTCTTCCCTAGTATCATTCCATCAACCCCAGGTGGAGTCAGGGGAGTCAAGGCACACTGACTGCAAGTGTATTATATGTGCAATACAATGGAAGTGTTACCTGTGTAAACACTGAGTAAAACTGAATAAAGATCATTTAGTCCTTTGTAACTTTGTGCTTGGTGAGGTGAGGACTGCAACCTTAGGCTGCTTTTGCTACTGCATTAACAGGAAATCAGTATTTTTCTTCTGTGTGTCTATATTTTAAGTGCTGTTCTGTAGCAAATGTTAATCCTACATGTTTGATGAAGCATCCCAAGACTGCCTCAACACGAAAACCAAACAAACACAAAAAACTTAACAAAATTGTAATTAAAAAAAACCAAAAAACCAAACCATCCAAGAGTCTTCCTTTTTTTTTTTGGTGAGGAAAAAAGTGAGAGGCCATTAGCAGCATCTTCAAATCCAAAGAGAATTATGCTTTCCACATCCTAGCTGAAGTCTTTTGTAGACAGTGTGGCCTCATGTACAGATCATAGAATTGCAGAATCACAGAATGGGTTGGGTTGGAAAGGACCTCAAAGATCATTTGGTTCTACCACCCCTGCCATGGGCAGGGACACCTTTCACTAGACCAGGTTACTCAAAGCCCTGTCCAACCTGGTCTTGAGCACTGCCAGGGAGGGGACAGCCACAGCTTCTCTGGGAAACTTGTTCGAGTGTCTCACCACCCTCACTGAAGAATTTCTTCCTTATAGCTAACCCAAATCTACCCTAATTCTAAATTACCAGATACACAGATCCAATTATGTGGTAAGAAACCACACTAGAGCCGTAACAATATAGTTTGTAGGCAGGTATCTTACAGAGGAAAAAAGGAAAGATTTTGTTTTTTAAAAATTATAGTTTAATGATAGAATTTATGCCTAGAATGTTTCAGCAATTATTTTAGAGATTGAATAACTAGTATTTATTTAGCTGCTCTTGGGGTTTGTGCATGGGTAGGAGTTTATTTCTGAATTCCTGGTTTATAAGTTTGGGGGTAAGTTTGGCACATCAAATTACAATTCACCATGTCACCCTAAGAGCCAGTTTTCCAATCTACTGAGTAACTGCAGTGGTCTCCAACTGTTGACAAAAGTGCAGGGAGCTTCTAAGATGCAGGAAAGAAGTGCATTTCTGTCTAGCAACAGGTAGAGAACATCGAATGAACTGTTTCTCTTTGCATTTCCTACACCTACTGAGCTGCATTCCTCACAACTGCAAACTTGTTAAGGTAACACTGTTCTGCAAACACTGATATAATTAACCTAAAGCTCTGGTGTATGACATACCTAAAGGAGGGACTAGAGATACTGAAGGGATGAAGCAGAGACAATTAGCTGTCAGTATCAAAGTATTCCAGACAAAGAACAATCAACTGCAAAGATCTCCAGCTTCTCCTGTTTGAAGACTTAGGTTATCTGAATTTATTAGAGTTTATGAAATTGTCGGTTTTAAGCCACAACAAACCAACCTAGGACATCTGGGTTTCAGCACTTGAGACTTTCTGTTTAATACACAGGTAACAGTTATGGATCCTACCAATGTCCAGAAATGGAGGGGGACAAAGAGAACATTACCATGGTAAAGCACATTCAAGTCAGATGAGGACTGTGATCTGCCGATCAACTAACTTCAGGCAGGCATTTTTTCAGTAGGATGCCATGGCGTATGTCTCTCTTACTGAAATTTCACACTGGTCTTTGGCTGCTATTTACTGAAAGCTGGTATATAACATGTACTTCCTTGATGGATACAGCTGTGGGAGGAATGGGAATGACCTCATAATCGGCAAATGAAAATAAAGAGGGAATTTGAGCCACCTGATTCTACCTTTTCATTTCCACCTCATCCCTCTCTTCTACTCTCTCCTCAGCTGACAGTGATGGTTCTAAGCAGATCAGAGCTCATATATCTCATACCTGATCAATTTATACCATACAAAAAGCTGAGAACTAGCTTCCTGACAGCACTCACTGGCAAACTAATCCTGACAAAGCTGTGTATCTTGAAATTCAGGTTTAGAGAAAGGACTGTTTTTTGGGTAAATGAGCTGTGAAAATGCAAATTGAGATCACTATGTGGCATCAGAACCCCAGATTCTGACATGGGTTTAGTGTGATTTTAGAAAAAGCAAATGCTAATTTTAGAGACATCTAGTGCATCAGGTTTTCCCCAGGACTTTTATTCTTTGCATGAAGTCAATATGTGATCACATTTTACAGATGTCTGGACAGCAGCAATCACTCTAAGAAATTAACTCAAAATTACGTGAGATAAAATGTATTTCAAACAAAATATACAGTGATAAAGTTTTCTACATAAGTTACTATTAATTTTATGGAAATTTTAAATAAAAATATCTTCCAAGATGAAAATATGAAAAGTTCATTTATTTCCATAGGCAACTTCATTCAGAGTACAAAGTGATATGAATTTCTCCAAACTGTCACTGTACCTTTTATATATTAACTGATCTAAAATATGATACAAGAATAAATTTGCTTTTGAAGAGCTGTCCAGTAAACCAGCTATGCACTAATGCCATGCTATGACAGTTGTATTTATGAATCACAGCTGACACTACAGTAACAACACTTTATAAACCTCATGAGGATTTTAATGTTTTACAATCAAAACATCAAACTGCCACTAGTACAGAGACTGTATGATTAGACAAATAAACAAGTATTAAATATTTTGCACAAGGCCTGAGTTCACTATAACACATTTCGATTTACAACATCTCAGAAATCTGTACAGCAGTTAGAAGTGTTTCAGAGAATTTAAAGACAATACAACTTCAGGGGATTATTTGTTCTGTTGATACAAGTGTGAGGCCTGGAAGGCAAGAGGATTTGGTGTATGAAACCAAGGTTTTACTGCCTTGTGTAATTTCCTTGTAAAGCAGTCAAAACCTAATGGAAAGTAAGATACAAGGCAGGACCTCACTTGAAAATCAGCTAACTCATCTGAAATTCTCCAGATAGGTTTCCTCACAGCTATTTCAGAGTAAAAGTTCACAATGAGTATATAAAATGCAGCATATCTCTTAACAAAGAACAAAAAAGGATCACATTTACAACAGGGTATTTTTTTCTGTACTTCCCTCTCCCTACATTTCTTTTATTGGAAATGGCACAAATCAGCGATATCCCACCCACCCCCAATAAAAAACACCTAATCAATAAACAAAGGTCACTCGAAAGTCCAAAAACTTCATCTGCAATGAGAGATCCAGTGTTCATAAACTTATGTTTTAAAAACTTTCCTTTTCTGCTCCAGTTATGTAGATACAGGCAGATTAAACATGTACATTTAGAATAGATAACAAAAGTATCATACAATTGTTCACCTGTATGGAAGCCTTGCGGAATTTGATTCAAATCTAACTTCTCATGTAATCCTTGCTTTTTTGGTGCAACTGAACTGAAAATATCTAAAATCCAGTAATCTATACACACACTTATCTATCTACAGACAGATAACATTGTAACAGAGGTTATAACACAATAGTTAACACACATTTTTCTTATTTTAAAAGGCCATTGGGGTGTTAAAATTCCACATAAATGTGAAAAAGGTGTTGCTAAAAATACAAAACTTAACAGAAAAGGAAAGTTTCAAATAATAAGACTTGAAATGTTGTGCACCTGTACATCCAAAAATTCGGCCTTCTACTTGGGGTACTCAGCATCTGTACAGACCTGTAAAGCCACAACTTCCCCAGATTTCTAATTCACACCATCATTGAGAGAGGAAGACAGAGTATCTTCATTAAAAAAAACTAGGGCATTCTATCCATGTTATTAGTAAAATTTCTCTCCCCATCTCCCAGATAATTGGTGGACTCCTTTACCTTTCAAAAGACTCCTCTGATACTGCTGTCCTCCTGCATACGCAGGTTCCACAGGCTGTTCTGTGCCTTACCGGCAACACTTGTGTGATGAAAAGGAACAGAAAATCTGCTCTCTCCTCCACCCCTGAAATGACACTTGTGCCATTTCTCTGTTTCTCTCCTCTTGTGAGATTACTCTTATGACCTAGGGGCTTCTAAGCTTATCTGTAACTTGGTAGTTTCAAGGTTCCTCTCTGTCAGCCCCAGCAGAGGTTTTTCAAGCCTCTTTAATAAAACCTTTCCAACTAGCAGGATTAGTTTGTTTTCTAAGACTGAGTTTTCAGAGGATGCTTCAAAATCCTTCATACTTAAAAACCAAATAGAACCAACAGTTCTAATATGGAAAACACTGTTGTCTTGGTGCGGTCACGTTCATTGAGCATTCACAAGAGCAGCCAAAGCACAACTGATGCTTATACTATATCCACTTCTTTTCTCCTTTTGTAGTACACATTATACAGATAAATCAATTAAATAGGAACTTAGACCCTTCTCTTTACTTCTCTTTTACAAATTAATGTAAAGTAAACCAGTGGTCTGGGCAGTTCAACCCAGACCTTGCTCCGATTTTTCCCAGTAGAATAAGGATCTGCTCACACTGGGTAAGCACAGCGGGGGGCACAGGCTGGAGGCTGTAAGATGATTATATAACCTGCCAGGCTTCCACATTTTTTCCTTCAAATTAGGCTGAATACAAAGGGAAGAAAATTTGTGTCATTTACAGTATTGCTCAAGGCATTGTAAAAAGAACGTATCAGATTACTTTTTCAGTAATTCAGTTTCTTAATTTCTTTTTCAGTAATGCAATTTCTTAATCAGATACCAATTTCAAACCTATGTTGACCATTTTGTTTTGCATTAGGGCTAGAAAGTCCTGCTTCAGGCCAAGCTAGGTCTAACACTGCTTTCCATCCAAGTCCAGAAACAGAAAGCCCCTGGAATGCTCACATTTTGTAACATTGCCCCTTCTTCTTACTCCTTCCCATACAACTTGGATGTGAAGTACAACTGTTGCCCTCAAACAATGGTATTCACTCTGGCCACAGGATGAGTCTTCCAGCCTCCTGCAGGGACTCAGAATGACGACTTGTAAGTGGAGAGATCAACTGGACAAGGCTTCCTAAAGAAAAACTATTGTAGCAGGAGCCAAGTGGCACATGGTGACTTACCTCTTGCAACTCCTCTTTCCTCTAAGTTAAAAAGAAATAATCAGAAAACTTCATATCCACCCAGCTTCCTGACACACTAAGCAGGAAGCATCTACAAGGAAGAGGGATTTGACCCTCTCATTTTAACTGAAGTTATGTTTTTCTTTTTTATTCTTAAATAACTAGAAAATTTTGTTGTAACTTAAAAGCAGCGTTTTCAGTTTTCATTGTTGTTATTCTTCTACTCTGGCCATTCTAAAAACTGCAGCAAACAAGAGCAATCAAAATAATGTTCTCAAATCTAAGTAGGAAAAAAAAAAAAGTATTACTTGAACGAGATAAAGATCTTATTCCATCACATTACCACCATAGAGAAAAGCCTCTCAATTTGAACTTGTAGGATTTTTTTTGACTTTGTTCTTACAAATCAGATTATGTTATCAGATAGCTCATGCCAAAAGCACATACCCCAAACCCCATAGTTTCAGAGGTCTAGCATACAAAATTTGTTCTTTGTTTTATTTCAGTTAATTTCCCCTCCAATCGGTTAAATTAAAATCCAGTTCTGAAAAGGCCCCAGTCCAGGGGGATCAGGGACTGAAACCCAGATCAAGACGCTGACATTTAAGACTGCCTTTATCATAGATGTATTAATTTAATACATTCTAGAGTCTTAAAATATGTTAATTTTAAGTATAAACTTATCTTCCAAATAATTTAGAGGAATACAGATTCAAGTAATTCTTCAAAGGCTTGCCTTAAGTTATCCTAACAGAGTTGACATAGAAGAAGACAATAGTGTGAGAGGGTAGAGTACTAGTAAACGTAAATGAACTTAAATAGTTTAACAGTTCCAGTATCATCTTAAGTTTACACAGATATCTTAACATAACCTACAATGTTTATCATGAATATTAACAGCACACAAGCATCACAATGTGTTAGGTATTGTTTTCTAAACCACAATTTCACTGGTCCCAGGTACTTTAAAATAATAGGACTAAGGCAGCAGCTATAATACATAAACAATTCTTTAAGAAATATGCTTAATGCTATTATGCTTAGAACTGTGGAAATATAACAAAATACAAGTCATGTTTACAGCATAAGGCCCTTTGGTTTCTTAAGCAGCAAATGAAAGAACAATTTCTTCAGTGAAAGGCTTTGAAAAATAAAGCATGTAGGCTTTCAATAAAAAAGGTAACTAGTTCTTTCCTTTTCAAAATAGCCAGATATAGTTTTCAAAATAGTAGCTAAGAAAGCTCCTGAAATTCCTAGGAAAGAAAAAGTTAAAACCCAACAGTGGTGCCTGACAGAGCAGAGATTTTATCATGGGCAAGCTGAACATACACCTTCTGGGAAGTATAAGAAACTACTGTTTGGTTTTTTGGAGAGCTTTATTAAATTTGGACTAATACAACAAAAAGGATCTGAAATACCTATTTACCATATATTTTAGAGCTTATGAATCAAATTGAGAACCCACTTCATATTCCTCTACCCTTCACAAGAACTTGAGTTAAAACAAAATTAAAATGAAATAGTTTATTCTAGTCAAGGCAATTTATGGCAGTCTGCTTTTTCACACAACTATGAGCAACTTCTACAAGGCAACCCTTTTTGATCTTCTCAATGGAGCCAAAATCTATGAAGTAATTAAAGATATTTCTGTGTAACTAAACAGAGTCTGTTTAGCTACACAGAACTACTTAGTTACACAGTTGGGGCACTCAACATCCGAATTTTACAGAGAACATTCATTTTATGAGGTTCCATAACTACACATATTCATTTTTCACACCAGTTAGAAGCAGTATCAAATTAGTGAAAACACTGGAATATACAATAAATGTGATCAAGCCACCACAAGTATTTTAAAATCCTGCATAAGTGGTATACTGCTTTTGCTATGGGACTGGTAACAAGTATTTGTCATTATCTAACAGGTTGTCAACCAGCACGACCACTGAAGCAGTGTTCTTACTCCGTCCTAAACTTGCACAAAATTTTAAAACAACTTCTTATGTCTCCTGAACCTTGTTGTAGCTTACTAGCACATTAATTTTAATTATCTTGTAAGAGAAGAAATACAAAATATTTTCTCTTCTTAGCCTCTTACACAGTTACTGGTTAGAGGTCTTTCTACGTAACATGGCTAACAAAACTTTCTGAGGCAGCGTAAGAATCTATGTTTTGCAAACTGTCATATGGCAAAATGACAGCCGGTGCCAAATTCGGGCAACACAAATCATCAATAAGACTTTAGCAGACATTGAAAGGACTGCCCTGCAGGATTTCATTTACTAGAGTTATTACCCCCTAGGCATTTTTGTTGAATTTAAGAAACAGAATTTTGTAGGAAATTTCATAAGAGTTGATTGAGTACACTTCTGAATAATTTTGCAATACTTAGGTGCTTCTTTTTTGATTGAATATATGCATCCTACCTTTAGTGCTCTGCTGTTCACTAAAGAGATAGGAAATCTTTAGCATGTAAGATGACTTTGCACTTACGCAATTCCACTGCAGTACCAGGTGAATGAAAAATCCAGTCTTTTTTCCAGTGCAAAAGTCTTTACTTTGCTGGGTTGAAAGTTTCCCCAAGTCATGCTTTCACTAATCAAAAATAAGATGTTAATCAGCTTACCCATGATCCAAATTTCACTGATCTTTGAAAGGAGAAAACGTTTTACCCAAAAAGATCTTTTAAGTCATTACTAGCTGAGCTGCTGTTTGTCATTGTGTTTGCTGGTTGTGTAAAGTTCTGAGGAGCAAAGAAAGGATTACCCTGTATACCAAAGCCAGGCTGTCCTATCATGTTCATTGGAGGTCCCAAGACCGAACTGCCCGCACTTGGGGACCCTTGTGGGGGTACAAACTGGTTAACCCACTGGCTTGATTTCTGTTGAGCCAACTGTTTCATACTAACTTTGGGTTTTTGAGGACCAAAAAGATTATCTAAAGCAGACATATCTGGAGGTCTGTTCTGTTGTGTCAGTGGAGAGATTGCAGATGCAGCATTCATAGGACTGTAATTTGGCATATTGGCAGTTGGTACAATGTTCATCTTGGTCGCTCCTGTTGCACTTGGACCACTGAAGAAATTCTGAGTTGTGGGACTAGCTCCCATACTGAATCCAGCAGTTTGAAAACCCATATTAGTATTTAGTCCATTTGTTATATTTCTCTTTGTGTTGTCAATAGGTGATGAAAACCCCATTCCAACACCCATAGAAGGGACAGAAGTGAAGCTGTTTGAAGATGCAACTTTAGCTTTGTTGATAGAATGGCTGGTCAAAGATGACATATTATCTATCAAGGTATCTGTCAAGTCTTTTGTCTGCAAAATACATAAAATGCAGTTAAATGCTTTTCCTGTACAAACACTCTAGCAACAGTCTTTATCATTGCTCCTGCAGAAGTGACATTAATTTTTTAGAAATCAGAATTTACTGCCTGGAACTGGGCATGAAATTTAATTATACACAAAACCAATTGGGTTATTTTCATTCTTTGCTACTTAGAACTAATTGTTATGCAGCTTTATTTTGACAAGTAAGACAACATATGAAGTACTACTGTGACATCTGCTTACATGTCCTATTCCTATCTCCAAGCCCTTTATATATTTAGTTAATACACTCTTGAGAGCAAAACCCTTTTTAATATGTGCTTTTTCCTTATCTAGAACAATGGCCTTCCAATAATAATTATACCTTTGGAAACTCCTGCAATTTGAAAATTGGGAAATGTTGCTAATAATGCAAATGGAAGGCAGATTAAAATTTAATTCATTTTTTTTCAGCTGTGCCATTGTGAAAACAAAGGTGACTTGCAGGAGAAAAAAAATGCTAAATGCATACAGCGCTTGAAAGGAAAAAGCATCACAAGTCTAATAGAAACACTGCAGTAATTTGTTCTTTCTCACCTGCTTCACTGGAGGTGTTATTGCAGTTGCTTGTGGCTTAAGAGGTTGCTGGCTTTTAAGTTTCTGTGCCTGTTCTTGTTCTTTAGCTAACTTTTGCTTCTCTTCAAGTGTAAGTGATGCCTTTGAAAGGAAAAGTACTGAGACTAAGTCATACAAAATGGTTATTCTTACTTTGGTATATTTATTTCATAAATAGGTCTGTCATTTCAATAATACGTGGCAGAACAACACATATTTATACAAAAGAGAAAGTGGATAAGCACAAAATCTATTACAATATTTATCAAATTGCTAAAAAGTACTTAAAGCAAATAAAAATTAAAAGTAGCATAATGATAAATTTGAGCAGATCTCAAAGAGGTAACACAACAAAACCATTTTAGCTTTATCATCTTATTGTTGGGCATAAGAAAAAGTGTTTTTCACAGGTTTTTTTATATGGTTACCAACTAGCACATGATATAGAACTGCAATTGACCATGGAGTTGGAAAGGGAATTTTATTTTAAGATTGGTTAAAAGGATTTTCATGATTTTAACTCTACTTTTGTTAATGATGGATAAAATCACAGAATCATTCTGCCTTAGTCTAAAATTAGTGAGAGGGTTCAGACAGCTAGAAACGTAAATAATAAAATGCATAGATTCTGGGGATCTATTTACATAATTAATAGTATTAAAATAATTTTACAGTAGTTCATGCTTATGTTTAATATTCTAAGTCGTCATGTTTTTTTCTTTGCTTCTTGTATTTACACTCATATTGACTGTTCATTTTCACTTAACTTTGAATTGTACTGTAAGTGTTAGTCTCTGCTACCACGTGAAATTCTACATTTTATTTTCATCTCTGTAATTTTATAATAACGTTGCCTATTTTGATTTTCCTATCTAAATCTCCTGCTTGTAGATTTTTTACTGCTGTATTGAAATCTATAATTGAGAAGAATGAAAATGATCAAAAATTTGTAATCCTAACTGCTGCCTACTTTGTACAAAGCTGTTTTCAAGGAAAGGCTTTCACAGAAATTCAAGGATATGATTTGAACATTTTTCAGTGGACCTTCACAAGTGACTACGTATGGTGCTCTGCTATACAAAAAGGAGTTACTTTTCCTTTAAATCTTTAAACATGATAAATATTTACACGTACTCTTTTTATGCA